TGGAAGACTACGAGGATGATTAATGAAGATCAAAGTGCGATATGTCATGTGGCAAAACTTGAAACGTCCCTTATGTCCCAAATGAATATAATTTGCTAAATTTTATTAAATATATAGTTAAAAGAGAATGTATAGTTTGTCACATAGGAACAATGAGAAATCGAGATATGATGGCATTTATATTGAAATATAAATTAAAAATAAATTCAGATGTACTGAAATAATTAATTCTCACCATTGGTAATTCTCTTCTAAAACATTAAAGATGCTGTGGACTGTGGACTAATGAATTTCCTGATTAACTAACGTGTTAACCCTTTGAGACACACGCCACCAAGTGAGCTCATTTTGTGACCATGATAGCGGGCGTTCGCGAAATGCAAGCTTGCAATCAATCAATGACAAATCTAACCTTTAATTAATGTTTGCCAGAATCTTTTATCGATTAATTCGATTAAATATTTTTTTATAAAAAAAATAGCTCGTATATTTACATTTAAAAATAATAAAACTCATGTAAGGAGTTTGTAATAAGTTGAAATCAGAATTGTTAGATGGTTGGATGTCTGTTAGAAGGTATGTCCAAAACGGCCACATAGATCTCGATAAAATTAAGCATAGATGTAGAACATAGTCTGGAAGGACACATAGTCTACTAAGCTTTTCTTTAATTCCATGCGAATGAAGTCGCGTGCGTTACCAAGTAGACATATAATGGATAAGAATGTTTTAATTTTTGTTTCATATTTTTACAAATGTCAAGTATTTTGACATTTGTAACCTACACTCACAAATTGTCAATGATTGAAGGAAATAAATAAAAGTCGCAATTTCCCAACTTACATGGTTGATTTTTATTAAATGTCATGAATTAATCATAATAGTTATATATGTATGAATAATGTTTATAATGCATTGTTGAAATGCTAAAATATTTATAGTTATTTTTTTAATAAACCAGTACCATAATTGGGTGCATCCCAGTTGTTCTTTAAAACTGTTGACGACTTTAGTGTTTAGCATCTTATCACAAATGTATAATACTAATAATGGGATAAAATTAAATATGTCGATATTTGCAATTAACATAATTTGTTTTTATAAGTTTATGAAATTTCTTTTCATTGTAATTATTAATGTCCATTTAAATTGCACAGATTTTTTTATAAGATAAATTAAAATATAAAGATTTAAACTTATATGTTTTAAGTAAAGTCAAGATTAAAAACTATACTACAGTACTATTGTTAGGAAGAAAATCCGATACTGTGCCGATGTACTGGCACAACACTAGCCTTACTAAAATGTTAACGTTTATGTCCCCACACTAATCATTCTGACACTTGACTTTGCAATGTAAGCGCGCCATTCGCGCCAAAGGATTGTCACTAATAAACGTCTAAAACTATATCGAACTATTAGGATAAAATTTAAACGCGTGATGAATATTCTACTAGGGCTACAGAACTACAGGTATGGGATATTCCTGGGATGCACCCCCATAATTCAACATAACTTTTAAACTAAACGGTGACACTTGACAAGTATAGTTGTCACTCTTTTTTCGAAGAGGATAATAGAGACGTAATATGTCTAAGATTGATTAGTTTGACAACTGACGCATAAAGTATCGAATTTTGTATGAGGATTAATGTTGTTCTTAATGGATGGTGTCCAGGGTCGAATCGTTCGCACATAACGAAAAACTATAAACTAACGAGTCTTGTAACGAAATAAATCGATGAAATAAGTACTAAATGAATGAATTAGGTATATTACTATTTGAATTTAATATTATTAGTCATTTAACTATGTATCGCACAATAAACTTAAAAAATGAAAATCTTTGAAAAATAAAAAATAAAAATTGTCAACTCCAAATTTTTTGTTTTTATGTATTATTTTATGTAGTTATGAAGAATCATGTAAAAGTAGAAAAAAAATTATTTATATTGTATATCAAAAGCAATAATCACGAAATTTTTGTTTGCAAGTTCTATGAGAACAACCATCGAAAATGGAAAATATTTACGACTTATTTACTCAACCCATTTGTAGTGAATTGTCGAATTGTCAAACTAATCATCCTTAAATAGGCACACTATAATACAAGTTTCAATACAGTCAAAACACACACTAATAAGACAAATAACAATATTAGTAACAATACTTATCACACTGATCTCTATAAATGGATTGGCTGTACGACGTCGTGTTATGTGCGTATTTGATTTCCGCCATTTTGGCGCTGAAAGCAGTATATAGCGGTGGTGTGAATTGAAACTAATATTGATAAAATTAACTGTCAAACATCAATTTGAAGGCGCGTTTAAATCGGAACGTAGTGAAAGCACTTCAAGCAATCGCCTATCCATTTATACAGAGCTGTGATTTATCCTAATTATAGTCTAACAAGGATATCCGAGGGCCTAGCACGAAAGTGTGCGACAATATTCGTTGCCATCGAAAAAATTCACATAAGATTTATACAGCGACCCCTATCGGGCATAAAGTAAAATGACAAATCTCATACAAATTTCGACATATTTTGTTTAGATCCTCTGACCCGATGAGGCACTACTATTGCGGATAGTTAAGGTAGAAAAACCTACTTTGGCACAAGAGTAAATTTTGACATGAAAGCTAAATTTTTGACATTTTTGGGTGGCGCTAGTGAGCAATAACAATCTATTTTGACTTATGCCTACCGGGTAGAGATATCCTTGTCTATAAATATATATACTCTTAAATTAATTGATTAGGTCATATATTGTGCGGTTATTTGTTTATATATTTTACTAATCCAATATTCTTTCTAATAATATCTATGAAACATTTACGAATAGAAAAAAAAAACTCATGTACGTTCGAAAACTGTTGATCATTTTTGTTCAGTTCTAAAAACTAATTTATATGACGACTACATTATAATTCTATTTCACATAACAATACGAAAGTAAATATAACTAGAACAATACACTTAACACACGCTATGCCACGACTTTCACGTATGAAAGATTACAAGACAAGTCTGTGGCATTCAATGTGTTTACTAATAAAGTACCACGCCTAATACAGCATTGGTATATAGTGTACCTCTAAAATCGACCATCATAAGGGTTAAAAATATTTTAAAGGTTGTAGCGCACCTATCGCGAATTAATTAGGACAGAAGAAAAAAAATGATAGGTATTTTTCGGTTTAAAGAAAGATGAAGTTATCAGTGCGCTATAACCTTTAGTCTCCTACAAATTATACTTATATATCTGCATCATACTATTTGCATTATTACAATTTCTGGTGATATATAATTTAATATATAAATTGTGATGTACTATATGTTAGTTAATCTAATATTTTATTGGATTTCTCTATAAAACGGAAGCACAAATTTCTACTATATCACCGATATTATATATAACTTTATATATATTACAATATATTTATAAGAATTGTAAATAGATAAATTGATAGACAAAATACTAGTAGGATTAAAGATTTTAAAATATATTTCATTTAAATTTGATAGTATCAGTTCATATCAAATATATACAATATTTTAAATTTTATATTTGCATTGTAATGTTTGCATTAAATTTTGATAAAATAAATTGAAGAAAAAAAAATAGCAAATGTTAAAAAAAGGTAAATTGTTAACAATATTTTCGTATTCAAGAAATTTTTACAAAAAAACAAAACGTAATTTTTCACTCAAATATATCATTAACTTGCCCTTATCCCTATTGAGGGTCGGCACAGCATGTACTCCTCCATCTCTATCAGCCATCATATCCTTATCTACCCCCTTCCTACGCATATCCTCTTTCACACAGTCATTCCATACTTATTTGGTCTTCCTCTACTTTTGTAGCCATCCACATTCTATCAAATATATGCCCGATTTTTTTTATATTGTTTCTAAGACGGCAGAGTTTTTGACGGAACGTTATATAATGTAACGAATTATCAAAGAATTAACACGTTGAGCGCCGCGTCAGCCATCGGTGGCTGACACTAGATTATCTATTTAAGATGGTTGATGCTCAGTGACATTTGAACTGTAATGAGCTGATTTGTCGCAAAAAGAATAACGGCCACGAATCTATTTCGAAGAAATTTTATCTGAACGGAAAACAAAACGAACTTGGCGCGTAACGTGTTGAAACAAAGTCTATAGGTATAACGTAAAAAATGTAAATTATTTTGTACTGCCATCGGAAACACCAGCCCTTTAACACCAGTGAATATAAGCGGCGCTCGTGGCCTGAATGGGATTGTGTAAGAAATTCGCGTGGCGCTCAACGTGTTAAATTAATTTTGAATATGAAATGTGTATTTTAATTCTATTTGAGCATAGTTTATAACAGAAAATAAAATATATATATAATTTTTTCGTAACATTGGTTAATTATTGTAAATATTTTTTTACATCAACCTTTTTTTATCAGTCTCAATAGTTCAATATGTGATAAGATAAAATTGTGCAGTGAAAACTCTATACCCTTTTTAAGGGAATCGTGCTGATGAAGTTCGTGTAGAGAGAAAAGAGAATTGAGCTATCTTTAATAAATATATATCGTATATTATAAATTGGTCGAATTTCAAACAATGGTCGACCACTATTATAATAATAAAGCACACTTCAAAAACTTAGCCAACACAGAAGAATTACAGCAAAAAAAAAACAAAAACGTTAAACAAAATTTGATTATCCTCTATTAATCACATAATTTAAATATTTCTTATATATTTATTTTAATACTATTTAGTTATTAAATACATTTATATTTTTTTTTTAATTTTTTTATTTTTTTTAAGCCACTACGCATACATGCCTACTTTAGATAAATGCATTTTTTTAAAGAAAACTAAAGCTTAAAAGTATATCTTAGGAAATGCTATTATTATGAAAATTAAAACTTAAATAAAGAAACAAAAAATGCAAAATTAAAATTAATGACAAAGAATTATTAAAATAGCAAGTTACATAAAAAAAAACGTTTATAGGATACAATAATTAACATTGATTTAAAATAGCAGATTATGCGACATATATAAGTATATATATTTAAATGTGCACTTAATACTATAAGATAGTACCAGTGTAGTTTAAAGATCACTTTTAAGGAACATGAGAAACACGTACAATGAAGCTTTTACTGTTAGTTGCCGTTTATATGATGACACAACTTAAACCACAGCGTCCTGATCGGCTAACCGAAGAAGGACTCTCTGCATGCTATGGCAGCGATTGCAAACGACTCGGCATGACAACAATATGCACGAGAAGTGAAGATAACTCCAATTCCTCAGAGAAACCGTTGGTCAAGCTGACGCTGCGGTAGCCGGTGCGGAGACATTTCAATGGATATGTCGCTTGACCGATGAAGTTCGGATCTCCAAAGATATCTTCGTCTTGAATCAAGAATCGGATCAGAGCCAAATCGGGATTGGCAACGTCGAATTCGCAGATGTCGTTCCATATCGGATTGATTCCGTTGTCGGCTGAAAAATATTATTTAATGTAAGTCATATTGAATATGAAAATATTTACATTTGAATTAATAATAAAATTAATATATCTGACAAGATAGATAGAAAACAATTTTCTGTAAATTTTACGACTGTTTAAAGGTTTAGACCGACAAGGATATTTCTGCGAGTAGGTATAAGTCAAACTAAATAAATAACATATGTTTAAACTAAGACATAAGCTAATAATTTATACTATATAAAATAAAGTATAATATTAAAAATAAATAAAAAAAATGTAAAAAAATCGACCCCAAAACGCGGCGCTCGCAGGGTATGGCACCCAGGAGGCTGGCGGCATTTCCCCGTTGAATGGCCAAGCTCAACCTTTGTCCAAAATGCGCACCAGCCCTTGGATCCCCTGAGCCGTAGATAAGGCGTGCGGAAATCTCCTTAAACAGCTGTCGGGCTTCCACACCTCAAGGCCCCAAGGTCTCCACGGCAAAAGGCGCAAATATATGCGGATCTTATCGCAATAAATAGTTAGACGTTATTGGAATATAAAACTGTTAATTATCAAATATAATATTCTCAGTCCAACTTAATTACGACAGCTCTCTAGCCCCCTTCTGTCAACTACAAAAAAGTGTCACGAAATCTATTTCGTACTATAACTGTCATGTCATTTTTTTCTTTTATGTCATTTTCTACCTCTAATTTACGTTTTATATATATTCTGACAGAATCAACCGCGATAGCAGCGCCTCTCACACTGTTCAGATATCCAGTGATATAAATGCATGAAATTTAAATTTAGCGTTCAAGAAAAGTTATATATTGCCAAGAAATTGCTCTTGCAATTTTAAAAGTCAATCAAAAATTTACTAATCTTTGCATCTATAAAAGGAAGAGATGAAAAGAAATAAAAAGAAAATACTCACTGACTGTCTTGGTGACCAATTTGACGCCACTGTCGTAGTCCGCGCCGATGATCTCCACCTCAACAAAGGGGCTCGCAGTGCCCCTGCCCGATTTGCAGAGGTGTCTCGCTCCGATGACGCGTAGCATCACTGTCACCGGCTTCACCTTCCTCTCAACACATTTCCTGTCTTGAGGAGTATATCTCTCATCGAACATAAAGTCCGGCTTCAGTACATAACCGCAACCTCCGTTCTCTTTGAACTTTCCCATGTTAATTTGCATCGCTTTGTCAGGTGTTTGATAATTAAGAGCCACCATCTGCGAGCCAGCGTTCCAGAACGGAGTCGGACTATAGTTTGATGAATCAATCCTCTGTCCTTTAGGATAGATACGACTCAGTTGGATCATGTGGTATTTGATGAAATACGCTTGAGACGCCTCCTGTTGGCACATGAACCGTTCTGCTTTGGTTTCGGGGAAAGAGGACATTTCGGTGAAGACGAAGACATTAGTTTTCATTTTGTCAACGTTAAAAGCCACGGAGCGGCAGTAGATAATGAGATCGGACATTTCTTTGGCGATTCTCCAGGTGCGTTCCATTTTTCTATGCTGTTGAGACCTGGCGCTGGCGCTGTGAGCAGCTACTTTGATGGCATCAAGCCACTCTAACGCTGACTCCCTGGTAGGCGCAGCCATGTCGAAGGGGGCGCACATGGTAGGACTTTGTATCCTGACCAACCAGCGCGCCGCACCGCCTTCCTCTCCAACCACCAGTTCCACTATAGCGCCCAACACATCGACGACACCCTGCTGAAGAGAACCCAACGCGGCATTTTCGTTATCCAAACATCCCTGTAAAAGTTTATTTTTGTCTACTTAATAATTGTTATAAATAAAATGGTAATTTGTAAGAATTGTGGTTATTGTGGGTGTTTTTTTTTGGTAGAAAAATGTCGTGTAATATGAAATATTAGTAAATTTACAAAAAAATCTGCTAATATTTAAAAAAAAATAGTAATTTGTAAGTTCTGTAGTTTTTTTTGATGGAAATATGTCGTGATGAAATGAAATGAAAAATACATGATTCAAAACATAAAATAATGCAGGCAAATTCTATTTGATTGATTTCAAGCAATCTACAGCATTTCTAAACTGAATCGACAACACAATGTCAATACAAAAGCAATAAGCGTGAAGGTTTAGAATTGATTGTGACAAGCAAAACAAAAAAAAAACAATGAATACTAACAGCGATATCTGTTAGATGAGGTACATCTACCTCTTCAACGTAATTTGCCGGGAACCAATGCTGACGTTTGCCTCCGTAGTCACCTCTCCACCATCCCTCGTCAGGTTTGTCCACGTTGGTTATTATCGCGTGTTTACAAAACGACAATTCATCTTCTTGCCTTGCATGGTAGTCATACAATGCCTTTACCGTCATCTAATATTTCATTAAAAAATTCCAAAAAAAAAGCAGGAACATCAAAATTTATTAGTCAACTTTATACAAAAAAATGAAAAAGTTTTTTAGAAAATTAATAAATTTTAAATCTTATATAAAGTACAATAAAATTAAATCTTGCATGTCGCACTTTTATGACTATAAGAAACTCTAGTAAAAATTAAGACCGTTTAATTTATTTTTAACTTACTAATTACGAAAAAAAAATGTTCTATGAAAAAAATCTAAGAACTTTTTGTAGGCATTCGTTATTTTTTTTAGAATTCTTAATAGTTAAAAAATAAAAAAAATATTATACCCTTGACGTAAATGATGTTGGATCCATGTATCCTGGTGTTCCATACACCGAGCAGTCATCTGGTTCCTGACATATTAAAATAAAAAATCAATCCAAAGTATAAACCTAACAGATGAAAAACATTATTTAAAATAATAAAAAAAGACAAAAGAACAATTAGTCACAGAGAATAGATTACAAAAAAAATTACACTAGAAGTTATGTCTATTCCTCCTTCATTCTACTTCTGCTTCATTCTACCCCCACTTTATTCTACTTCTGCTTCATTCTACCCCCATTTTATTCTAATTCTGCCTCATTGTACCCCCACTTTATTCTACTTCTGCCTGATTCTACCCCCACTTTATTCTACTTCTGCCTCATTCTACCCCCACTTTATTCTACTTCTGCTTCACTCTACCCCCACTTTATTCTAGTTCTCCTTCATTCTAACTCTAATTCCTACAATTTCTACTCTATTATTACTTACGGTTATTATTCTTCTTATGGCTTCCTCGCTGATGGGATATGAGAGTTTTACTTTCTTGTACAATGGATTCTTTTCATAGTATGACACCAACTCTACAAGACTCTCAAACTTCACCGTGCCAATAGAATACAATCTACCTTCCAGTCTAACTCTGCAGTGCTTGATTTCTCTCTCCGTCCTAAAATATAAAAACTGCATTAGTATATTTACAACAAAAAATATATTTTAAGCACTACACTTGAGTAATTAAAATTATTTACATCAGTTTGAATTTAGTTTAGGAAATCGACACTAAAGGCATTTCAGTGATTATTAAAGTGAACTAACATTAATGGTAGTATGTTTAGTGTTTAACAATTATTTTATATTAAAAAGTTAAAAAAAAACAATATATTACCGAAAACTGATAGCATAGGAGTTGAGTTCTTTTTCACTCGGCCTTACAAGGAAGGCTCCATCAATATTGACCTTCCGCAACAGCTCTTCAGCCTGTACTCTTGAGCAATTCGGGTGATACCAATCTTTACCTTCATGCTTATTTGGTTGCGGCACAGGATCTTTTAGTGTTATCAAAAACTCCTAAAATTTACCATAAATGTTTAAACAAAAGCTAACATGGTAAAACACAATAAAATTACTACTGCAAAATTATAAAGGATATCATTTTTTAAGCCCACTCAGTATATTGGCTTAAAATAATCTTAGTATCATTATAATTGCGAATGTTTAGATGGATGGATGTTTGTTTGAAGGTATCTCCGGAACGGCTCAATGGATATTGATGAAATTTGGCACAAATATAGAACAAAGCCTGGAGGAAAACATAAGCTACTAATTATGTTTGTTTATAATTCGGCGAAGACAGAGTCTCGGGCGACGACTACTCAGATATAGATGTGGCTGATAACTTGAAAATTAATTTTTTTAACCAATTTTGAGTGTTGCCCCCTTAGACTGTTATATTATCACTTTAATCTAGAAATTTTCAGAACACATTGATATACGTTATTTAACTATTTACAGGTGGGCCTAAAACCCATACAAAAAAATGATCTCCTTTACATAAAAGCGACTATAAACATATATACACAATAATGCAGATATATGCAAGTAAAAAAAAATAGAATTGCAAATAAGTTCAACATAAAATTATTACATTTACTGCAAATTCCACCTTAGTTGTTGTGTTCAAAATTCATGACAGTCAAATTTGGTACAGAAATAGTATGGTCCTCATAGATTTGGTACCATTTAAATTCTAAATTTCATAATAAAGTTTCTGAATGTACCAGGATTTAACATCTTATCTACAGCTGTACCAAAGTAGTTATTTGTTTTGGAATAAGGCGGTTAGTCTTTTCACATGCTACAAAAGCCAGCTTTAAAATTTTTGTCCGTCTGTCTGTGTTGGTCCAAAACGGTCCAAACGGATGGACCGATATTGACGTGACTTCTAATAAAAAGCGACTAATAGGGAAACAAGCTAAAGCCTGACCAGAAAAAGAGCAACAACGCCATGTTAACAACAACGCCATGTTAACAACAATTTCATTTAAAAGTATAATTCTTTGCCATGACATTATTGACTGCCTTTAGGTTGTCATTGTATCATACTTTGATTTTTCTTTTTGTGATATATATTAGATATCTTAATATGCTTAAAATATTTGTAGCCACAGAAAAAATCTGTAAAACTGGTGACTAATGTAAAAAAAGACATTAAAAAGGCATTAGTAAGATATAATATAGTGTTGCAATATAAAAGGTGATTGCGGCGACCTCTTGAGAGGTATGCTTTATTTATGGTCAGGCTATATTGTTAATAATAGATTTGGTTTCACGAAATATGGAGACGTCGCTGCACCATAATTATCGGTTCTCGAGGCTCGCGGGATCCGCAAAAAGGGAAGCTAAATCTCCTTTTTGGTTCATAATCCTGTATTTAAACATATTGTGCACTCAAGAAACATGTTAATATGCAATTCCACGATAACAAAGTTACGAGTTATATATAGTTAGTATATAATATATTTAATATATTGATATTTCTTTACCTGGCTGCGTAGAGGATGCTGGCGGTAATGGGTGATCAAACTGTATAGACTGTCAAAGCACATCGTCTCAATGAGATAATATTTAGTTAAGCCCCTTTCATGCTTCAATTTTATACGGCAATGGTTAACTTTGCCTTGTCGCCAAAATGATAGACAATAGTCCCCAACAAATGTTACACTTTCCCTTACAAGAAATGTACCATCACCGAGATGTGAATGTGCTTTCAGAAGATCTTCAGCTTCTTGTCTATTTCCAGTCAATTTCCCATGAAACCAACATTCCCCAAAGTGCAATTCATCCTGAGATATAGTTGTTGTTTCCATCTCAGGTTCACCGTCACTATCAATGTCAGTTTCACTTGGTGCACTGTAGTTTTCTGTATAATAAAGTTTATTTTCAGTAAGCACAAACGCATGAGGATTCCATTCTTTGTCAACGGGATCTTCCAATAACAATATACCATTTTTAATTGAATTTCTTAAATCCATATCTTTACCTTCTTCTAAACATACTGCAAATGAATTTTCTTCAGCACCGTCTGGCAGCTTTTTGTGCTTTAAAATTATCTTACGACGCATATCATACGGTGATGGCAAAGTAGTTTCATTCTTCTCAATTGGCTGAACGAGCAGCATGTCTCCGAAGACATCTTGAAATGCAGTCGCCATACGTCTCTGTTGTGGCAGCGAACAATTGTCTTCAATGGACAAAATCAGTGGATAATCAGATGCGACAAAAGCATGCTCCTTTATAGTTCTCAGAACATCAGTGAATCTTATTTTTGTTGTTAGTGTATGCCCATGGTAAATGAATGGCATTCCATCTGGACCATCCCAGCAGTCCAATTCGATGCATCTGCAGCCTGTTCTTAAGCACCTTGCATATGCTTCCAGTGAAGATTCGCTTGAGAATTGATCCCCCGTCAAATATCTAGTAAAACACAAATGTTGTTTGTACTATTTATATAATTTTAACCAATTTGTGAATGATAATTCCGATACTTACGTATTGTGAGATGATGAGATCCAGTAATGTGACAATGGTCTTGTCATATCTTGAGTTACCTGATTATGTTTGCTGTCCCAAATTGTATTATGTTTCGAAAACAACATTTCAACGAACTAAAATAAAAATTATATAATAATTAATATTTAATCTTACTAATATTATAAATGTGAATGTTTAGATGGATGGATGGATGAATTTTTGAAGGTATCTCCGAAACGGCTCAACGGGATATGATGAAATTTGGCACAAATATAAAACGTAGTCTGGAAGAACACATAGGCTACTATTTTTTTTTAAATTCCGGGCGGACAGAGTCGCGGGCGACAATTTTATATAACTATTTCATATATGTTAGACTTACTTCATTTAATTTTAAATATGGTTCAGTAATATCTCGCTGAGGATCGCGCAAGTAGTCTCTTATGTACTGAGATGTTTTGGCTTCGTCCTCTCCTAGTTTATCATGTTGTTCTATTATTAAGAATCTTTGGAATTCGCGCAATGTTATTATCGAACCATTTGCGCAATAATGGGAATACTTGTCAAATATGTCATGGACATTCTGGAAATATTAAGAGAAAAATCAAACCTTGTGAACACTCGTAATTATAAGACGTAATACGTATAAGTTAAATGTCTTACTGATATCATTATCTACTTGTTATTTCTTTTAAGTTCAATTAGCTTGTTATGATATCCCTTATCTTTATAATGGTAAAAAAAGCAATACAGAGTAGAATTTGCAATTTAACCTCTTTTAAAAAAATTTTTTTTTAAGAAATTGTATTATGTTACAAATATAAAACGTAACAAGAATTAATCAATAACTAATCAAAAGGCTACTAACATTTTCATCAAAGATCAATCTGTGGTAGAGAATTGAGAAATCGTCGAATCCAATTTCGCCACGCCTACCAGTATCGATTTCTTGGAAAATGTCGCGCAATTTGCTCGTTGATATTTTGCAGTTGATTTTAGGCAAGAATCCCTTTATTTCTTTCAATGTTAACCTGGATTTAAAAACAGTAACATGATTATTACGTATGATGAGAGAGGCGATAAAAATTTACTAAGATTGCGCAACATGGAAGGGTGTGGTCTCTGCCTACCCCTTTGGGTTACGGGTTTGAGATATAATGATAATAGGGACCATTTTAGATAATTAAAACAATTTATCAGCTTAAAACGCACAGCGTATTGCAATGTCAAAATAATATAAAAACAATATCAAGCATAGCGCACGCAAAAATTTTTATTAATACCGAAAAACATTTTGTTTCTTCAACTTTTAGAGTACTTACCTTATTTGGCTTTCTAAAAATAACCTGCCAAGGTTTCATTAAAATCTTACCTGTGATTTACGAACGCATATTACAAACACCTACTCTTACCAAAATTATAAATGCGAATGTTTAAATTGATTGATGGATGGATGTTTGTTAGAAGGTATTTCAAGAATAGCTGCAATGATTACGCTAAAATAGGTGAAGAAGGACTGGAAGGAAATATAGGCTCCTAATTACGTTTTTTATTTATCTTCGCGGGGCGACAGCTAGTTCGTACACAAAATTGGATTGTTTAGAAAGTCCGTGCCGATTTTTTAAGTAAAACTGAAACGCATCCCATTTAAATTTTAGTATACTATATAGGTACCATTGTCTCATAACCTCTTAGGTTTATGGAAAAAAAAAACAAGTGATGTTGTCTATTTTCAATGAAAATGTTGAAATTGTTCCCATTATGGGAGTTCTTGAAATAATCTAACAGGATGAAAATCGTCAAAAACACCATCGTCGCCAAAAAGCACATATCTTATGTACCGTAGCGCTTGTAATATCTGTATATCAGTTTACCGCTTGTACGACATTTTTCCCGTTAAAAAAAGAAAAGCAAAAATGCCTATAATATGCCTAAGGCATATAAAACAGAATACAAGTTGACTCATAATCAATTTCTGTTCAAATACTCCTGCAATTATCCTATATGTTCTTATATCTTATGTTTTCAATAATTATAATATATTCAAGTCTGTACGCTACGTAACGAAAATCGGCACGAACTTCAAAGCAAACCTATTCAATCACAGATAAAGTAAAATAAAACAAAAATAATTAATTAAAAACATTATCATCATTGAAATTGTTGCAAGTGCAATGCATATAATTGAATGCAGCTTCAGATGGCAGCCAGCTAAAATACAAAATATCATAATACCAATGACAGTAAAATTATATATTCTTATGACAACTATGCATTTATTTCCTTTCAACATCTACTCATATATTTAATCAATAAAGAACTTTAAATACATATATAGACCAAAGAAATTATTAGATCCAATGTGCAGAAGGGATACAATATTACAAAAGCACAGCATCTCATTGTCTATTGGATGTCACATGATTCTTGTCTATAGTTAGCATCTTATATTTTAATTTTTATCATGTATGCCTTAGTATATTTACTACTATGAACTAAGCGCAAATATGTTTGTTAACATAATGTTTGAAATTGAGTGTTTACTTCATCATCAGCTCACTATAATCTCCACTATGGGGCTTGGAGTAGATACTTAGTGAGCGGTGACTGGGCTATAGTCAACCACTCTAGCCCAGTGTGGGTTTGTGAGTGGTTACTTAATATATAATAACTGTTGTGTTCATTTTCGCTACATATAGTGAAATACATAGAAATATGGATTCTACAGTATCTGTGGTAGTCATTAAAATTCTGTTGCATTTTTCATATGGTGAGGGATCAAACAAGGAGACTGCATAATCAAAATATTTCCCCCTTTTACAATTGTAATGTTTTCTCATTGGCTAGTCAGTCGCTCGAGCAAAAAACAGCGCAGAGCTACCCAAGATTTAAATTGCTAAATGCACAGCGCTTACCCAGCGCACCCAAAAATTAGAATTTCAATTTCTCAGGTATACGAAATTAACATGCCCTACCCAGCAGTCACAAGATTGAATGCGTGTGCAATAATTTTACCATATTTCAACACTAAAAATTCAAGCGGAAAATTTTACAAAAACTTCTTAGGTGTGGAAGCTAAAAATAGACACTTATGTAAATCAGGGGAGAACACAAGCGACAAAGTATATTTTATTACACACACTGTGCTACAGCAAGATAGATGATTGATAAAATAAATAAGAGTTGAGGTCCCAAATTTTACACTATTATATCAATCAATGAATATGTAAAATTATAGTGATAGATATATTATTACAAAGATATATATGAAAATAAAATTTTGAATGGTTTTATATGAGGGGTGAATTACAAAAAAGTACTTACTTTTCATGTGAATTTTCTAATGTATAAAACTCCCTTCTTAACCACCTCTCAATTTGTAGTGGATATGGTGTATTTATAGATTCTTCTACTAGAAACCTAATTCCCTTCACCCATGTTTCAGATTCCTTGTCCGTTGGAGCTAAAACACAAACAAGCTATTTTAAATCTAGACCAACATCCCAAGTGGCAGTATAGTTAAAGATATTAATAGCTCTAGCCATGGTAAATTCTTGCTAGATTCAACAATATTAAAGCAATGAATTTTTAAAAGACAAAACTAGAAAATGGCGTAATGTCAGAATAAGTATCGATTTTTTTGGCTATTTCTATTAAGACAAACTTACCGACAAAAGACGCGGAGCGCAGTTTAAACTCTGTTCCATAGTAGATTGTGAAGCATTTCGAATTTTCTAATTTTTTCATCTCATCAGGCCACCGCTCGAAGTCCTTAGACGATTTGCCGAATCTAACTTCCTTGATATCTCTAATATCCCAATTACCTTCCAGGGTATGTCGCTGAGGCGTTCCATTTCGGAATAGAATTATCTGATGTGTTTCTCGACGCACAGATAGTGTGCGACGTTCAGGTCTTTTTCTTGGATAAAACCTTAGTACAGAACACCCCCGTTCCAAGTATGATATTAATTGATCGGCCTCATGGATAAGCCTTTCGTTGGCCCCTTTGTAATAAACAGAACTCATGGCACTTCCTTTGTTGGCGCAGTGCGCCTCGAAACTGAGACTGAATTGTGCCTACATGGGGAGACTTGTCTGCGGGATATGTAAATCTAAGTTAATTTTCTTTATTGAATAAACATTATGAATATCTGTACTCGCACTGCAAACACACACAATTGCCCGATTTTGTTTGACTGACATGACATTGCTAAACCAAATGAATGAGTTACGAGTTGTGTTGCGAATAGCTATGGATGAATGAGTGAGTGAGTGATGTAAAAGATTAAATTTTAAAAAAAGGTAAAATATGTTTAGCTTACTTTACTTCTGTGAACATAGAAAAAATATGCTGACATTGTTTCTAATGACATATACTTTATTCTGCCTATCTAGAAATCTATTATACTTTTAATAATCGAAAAAGCCAAGAAAAAGAAGATTAATTTATTAAATTTCGTTGCAAAACTTTCTAAAAAATAATTATATTCATTTAGCATTAATGTTTAAACACGGTATCTAGAATGTGACTTTTAAATAGCAAACGATATTATATCTCTGTTTATACATGATTGCTTTGAATTTCTTGTGAGTTTCTGAGGTAAAAAATTGATGACAACACCACAAAAAGATTCATGTCATTCTATTTCTCAAAGTCACGCATTTTGCCCATCTCTAGTTGCTGTAACGAAGTTACAGTAGCGACAGCCACAAGCGATACTTGCTATAGTTAAATAACTAATAACCGTTGATGCAATTTCAACGTGTCAACCGGTTATACTTTTCTATCAATTCCACTATTAAACTAATTGAATTTCCAAGACGTAATATGCTTTAAATAAACATTTAAACATTGAATCATGAATAAAGTTTTATTAAAAAGAATTTAACAGACTTACAAACATTGTTGTTTCTTAAAACTTAGATGTTTAATATTTAGATATCATATTAGATGTAATCTTAATATTAATATTAATTATATTTTAATGGGGAAAAATTTGATTGTTTGTTTGTTTGCATTGAATATTCACGAAAATTACTGAACGAATGAAATCAAAATTTGGTACACCGATAGTCTAGAGCCAGAGAAAGGATATAGATTGCTATTTAACGCGAAAAAGAGGGTTTTATTGTGGGGGTGGAAATTAGTATAGAAGTATCGTATTTTTTACAGTTAGAAGTTGAAGCTTGAAACTTATTTTTAGGCTATTAATTTTATATAAATGATTATGACATTCAATGTTTGTAAAATCTTTTGACTTCACAATATTCCTAATTACCATGATCTCTATAAATTAGTTAATGGATAGGCTATTGGTTGGAAGAAAATAGCTTTTGCATCGTTCGCTATAAGTTGAAATCTAAACCACCTCTAAAAACCTCTGCCATCAGCCCCAAAATGGAGATGATCAAATAGGGACGAAATACTACGCCAAATAGCCAGTCCATTTATCCTTTCGATCAGTGCCAATTATCCTTTCTGGCAATATAGAAAGAGATGACAGCCACTGTCCATAGAGAAAAATATATACTGAAAATTGCTTGTCTTTGAGTTTTTCGTAGAAGGGTAGGCGCTTAACGTCTTGAGTGAAAATGCTCAAGCGAACTTTTCATGATTTAATTGAAATTAAAAAGAAAGTCGCAAAACTGGAGAAGTCCAAAGCAGGTAAAGGTGCTAAAAAGCGCCGCCGCATTATCGTGAATTCGTCTTCTTCTGAAGAAGAACCTTCGGGTAAGTGTAATATGTTTTTTCTTCTTTAAGCAATACGTCGCAGTTCAATCAAATAATTAAACAACTAATGTGCTAGTTAGCAATAAGTTCGAAATAATTAAAAATATAGCAGATAAATAGTAAAATCAAATTGTCATAACAGTTTGGAAAAACAGATATTTTAATAAAAATGTTGATGCGACAATTATTAGTACGTTTTTTATCACACGTTATTAATTTCAATCATATCTTAAAATGTGTATCTGCCTATCTGCGTTGTAAATAAAAATATACATATATATTGATTCATTCAAACATGTCCAATCATCAAAATGGCTGGCACCTTTGTCTTAAATAATTGCAAACATGTACAGAACTTTTCCATCCAATATAACTCTATCCGTTATTTAACTTTGTACCAATTTAAAGCCTCAATATTTAAAACAGACAAACATCACATTTCAGCCAAAATGTTTGTGATAAAAAACTATAAATGAAATGGAAAAATGGCCACCATGTATGACAATTGACATTTCTTTGCTACTTAAATTTGCTTTAATAAAAATTACATATACATACTAGTCACAGGCAACTCAACTAAAATTGATTGATTGAACTGTAGATCAGCTCATGATTCACATCTTAGTGAACCAGGAGCTGCAAGTTTAATTAATAAGCCACAGCTCAATCATTTAAGCCTATGTGAGCTGATCTTTTGAGTCAGTTTAGAGCTGATTTACACATCTCTAATAAATACTTGCTATATTGATGGAACTGTTGAGACTGATTCATAATTTGTGATATAAGATTGCTTGTAAAAGAAAAGGAAAGACAAGAAAACAAAGAAATGTGCAGTATCATTTTCATTGCTAGAAACTAAACAGATCTGATTGATTTGTTTATTTTATTCCTTTATTATGTTCCACCAGCCCTTTTTATTCAACTTAACATTATTTTAGGCAATATAAGTTTACTTATTTTTTCCAAATCTCACCCAAACCATCGTTCAATGTATATAAATGTATAAATAGCAAATTCATTTTAAATAATTGTCACCAGATACCCAATCCAAATCTTTGGAGCGCAAAGATGCGCCAATGCCGGTGGTTTCTTCGGTTGAAAAGCCGGCCGCAAAAGGCCAATCACCAGCCACAAAAGGCCAGTCGCCGGCCGCAAAGGGCCACTCGTCGTCGCGGCTGAAATCGCGCCGCAAGCGGTCAAGCGCGAAAGCATCACGGGGTGGACATAAGGATGCGAAGGCTCTAACCGGTATACAGATACAAGATAAATTTTGGCGAACTATTACCAGGAACATAACTATTGCAACGGCGGATCTTCTAATGTATTTTAATTGCCTTTTCATATTTTACCGAAGCCATTCACAACAGGATAGACACTTAGACATTACGCGAAACACACTGGAATGAAAGCTTAAATGTCTGTTATCAACTGGTTACAATTGCAGGAGTCATTTGACTTGCCTCAGTTGGTCACATTGGAAGAGTAAACCAAGTCCTCTCCCTTCAAGGCTGGATCCGCCCTTGCCCGGCGGGCGAACGACTGAGCCTGCGTCTCGATCATTCGCCCTTTTTTCCAAACGATAAAGCGCGATTCTAAGCCATGGTACTGCACCTTTGTATTTGACTCACAATTTTATATTGAGTAACCAATAACACTAATGTTAGGTGAAAACTATTTTGCAGAACTATTTAGACTAACAAACTATGTTTTTAACAGTTAAGTAATATGAAGAAATTTGTTACATTTATAACAATGTCTGCAAAATACATCGCCACTTCTTAAATCGGACAAGATTTAAAGGTGCTGTGCGTGGTCTCAAATATTGTGTGTCTGGTTCTATCTTTCTATGTACATGGTTGATCTGTCTTTTGGACATCATTTTAAAATCATAATACACTGATGAATATGTCGAGAGTTGAGTTGTAATCAAAATCACATACAATTCATAATCATTTTCACAAATCATCAATCTCTGTATGAAAATGTAAATATTAAATTTATAAATTATTAAGGCCAGCCTTATAAAAATGATAATTTATAGTCTAATAAGATAAATCTGTACCGTAAATAATATTATGCAGTTTGAAGATAACCAAATAAAAACAACATCTTTGCAAATAGTAAATGTAGTAGTTATTGCCAAAGATGGTTGTTGATAACAATTTATTGCTGTGAAGTGTCAACCGTGCTGATATATCGAAATTAGTAGAATATCAATATGTTAGTAAACTAATTTTGTTTGTAATTAATTAAATGATTTTTTTATGTTTGTTTCCAAAAGTCAGTCCGATCAGTAATATAAAAGGATAGAAAAGATAAAATTGCATGCAAAAGTACAGCTGTGACTTGATGGAATATTGCTCGTATTTAGCGTGCAGCACGTTTCTTTGTATAATTGTTTTCTTAATGTTGTATGAAAATGTAAGTGTTGTAGTATTTTGTTTATGTGTGAATGTAATATTTATATTAAATATCAATAGACATGTGTATTTCCAAAATCTTTCCATTTTACTTTATTTGCCAAATAGTCTTAGTTTTATACATAATTTACACTTTGTAATAGAAAATAATAGTTTAAGGAATTCTTGGGATCATTTTAAGTAATAAAAAAATTATAACTACATTTAATTCATGGTTTAGGTTTTGGAAAAGTATGCAACAGACAGGTTAGTACTGAATGTATTTATTTATTGTTTCCTTATATTAATTTTATTTAAAAAAAACTTATATATTATGTAAAAAAATATAATATTTAATTATTGATGTGCTTGATTATTAATGCATATGAATGTTACATTTTGGCTATCTTCAATGAAATTTGTAAGTTCTTATCTGCTTAAATTGAATACATTAAGATTTTTTTATCTGTTTGTGCTACATAGAGCCAGCACCGGATTCCACCAGTGGAGCTGACCGGCCTCGCTCCAAGAAAGGAAAAAAAAAGCGATCAGTAAAGAAGTAAATCCCTATTCATTTCGTTTTATTTTGTATACCCAACAATCTCTTGTCTTTTATAGCTCTACCACATTATGTGTTGAATATAGGAAACTGGAAAATACAACAATTTTTGACACTAGCATCTGATTCTGAATACAAACCATTTAAAAAATTTCAGTACACAAACATTTGATTACTTTGAATTGGGAACTAAAAGATTGTTGTATGGGCATGTTATGAGGATGAAAGAATCACATGTGGCTAGGAGAATGGTAAGTATGAGTGTGAAGGGGTACATGGGTGGAGGTAGGCTTATTAAGAGATGGATGAATATTGTGAAAGGTGACACGAGAAGGGGGTGATGACTGAGATGAAGGTAGATAGAATGAATGTCATGTCTATTACGTCATGTATTTTCATGAATTATTGAACGAAAATATTAATTAGTGGCCTAAGTGTTCTTATCGACTATCTTCCACATCTATGCCAAATAAGCGGGATCCATTCAGCTTTTCTGAAGATACTTTGAAACAAACATTCGCATTTATGATATTAGATTACTATTTAGTATTAATTTAATGAAAACATTATATAAATTAACATATTTCATACTAGACGAAAAAATAAGAAAAAATTATAAATTTTCATCTATCAAACACTCGTATTATTGTGTTTCTTCCTTAAATATTCTTCAATATTATATTGTTTGGTGCACATAAGGGAGAGGTCAAAATAATAAAACGCCGAAGTAAATGGTCAAATTTATCTTTATTTACACTTAAGTATTTACAATCACAATAAATATTATAGTAATAACAACATGTTATATAGATATATGGATAAACCAATTAGGAGCTACTTTATTTTTGTCAGATTTTATTAATATCACTACAAAGTACAGGGTTATTGCAGATTTGTATGGAAATATATGGAACAAAGAAGGCTCACATATTTAACAAGTTTAACTGTTACTAGATACTTGCTTATAGTACTATCATTAATTTGCTAAACAACATGCTGGTTAAGGATTTAATCTTATACAAAGACTTTTATAAAACAATTTTAGCATTTAAAAAATTCAATTTTTGTTATTAAAATTCAAAACAACTCCATTTGTGTCAACTGTCAATTTTTTTATTGTGATTTAGGAACGAGACTTTTAAGCCACTGTCATTTAATTGATTAGACATAGATAACATTTCTGAATTTGATTTGCAATGGACTAAACTTACTTCTTATTTTTGTTGCTAAGTTTTATTGATATTAAGAGAAATATTAATAAGAAAAGTAGTCATTAAGTATAGTTTGGATTATATTTTTTAACGATATTACTGCAGATAATAAAAACCAACGCATTAAATGCATAAGGTTGTGAACAATGTCGTAATACTTGTTTTTTGTATCTCATTCAAACCAAAAATTTCTTTTATATTTGTTCCTTGTTTATCACTATATTTATCACTAAAAAGCTGTGGTGCAAATAATATTTCCAAATAGCGTCTTTGTCGTAATTAAATTAAGAAAATATTACAAGCTTAGTGAGATTCCGTTTGAATGTTAAGATAAGATCATTTGCTTCAGAGATGTTGTCCGAAGATCTGAAAGAAAAATAATTTTCTATTTTATTTCGTTATTTACATGCAATGAACTATATTACTACGTACCAAACTACATTACTATTTACTATCCACGTATAGAACAGACACCGTTAGTTAAAAGTTTGCTTCAATTTGATAAAGTTAGGATTAAAATTAAAGTTCGCTGCAGCGCTAACAAAAGTTATGTCGTGTAGCCAAACAATAAAATGTGCGGCGCTGGTTCGTTTTTATAGGAAAGTTATCTCGCGAGCAAAACCCAAGCACCCGGGAAGTCGGACTCGTTCAAATTAGTAATACAATAAGAAGTCGCAAATGCATTGAATTTTTAAATAAAGAAAATATCGACCGAAGTGTTTTAATGTCTATTTAATGATAAAATGCTTTGACTTTACATATCTGAAAGCCTCCAGAACACAACCAGGCTTCATCATATAGTACTAGGCTAGCAATGTAAGGCTAGATTCAGGTCATTGCATTTTGACTAGATAGTTAGGTTCGACGCACAAGCCGCGTGATCGATCACGGGCGATGTCTTTTCTATACGTGGTGTTATTACACGATGCAATCTTTATGGTAGCTGGTGGTTAACTGCGTGCGCATCTTTGTTTAGATAGGAGCCAAGTAGATCGATTGCAGATGTATTATATGAAAAATGAATTCTGAAAATTGATGGATGTTTCTCCCTCCGCATCTCTTTACATCGCGCTGCCGATACCTAAAATTGTAAGAAGCATCTCATGCGTAATTACGAGCTGCTATAAAGTTTGTATCGTTTTATACTTCAACAGCCCTAACTCTCCTGTCAGTTAGATATTTAGAAGAAAGAATATATAATATTTTGCCTGTATAAACAATAATTTTAATAACAGAGCCAGTGGGGTTCGTGTCCTGTGTGTTAGTAAAAAGTAGTAATTAAATATATTACTTCAAATTGGCGACCTTGGCTTTAAGCTTGTATAATTCAACTTACGCATCTAAACGCCATCCCCTCCATCTAATGTCCGCTTGACTGTAATAAAAAAGAAATTTAAAAAAGGCATTAAAAAAAAATACGCAAGCTCATAATTTTATACTAAATTCGCGACAATTTATTACAATTTCGAGGTAAAATAATAGAAATACATAAGCGCCGGCAACACGTTTTTGAATAAAATAGAATTAACAAATAAAATGTTTCAGATTCGTAAATAATTTTCGCATATGCGTTATCGCTACATATTTCATATACAATTAATAATGTTATAACTAGTTGTATGGGTCTCCACTGCATTACCGCTTGTATTGACATGTATTGTCATCCCTTTCATTCTGTTTGACAAAACAGAGACAACTATATTTGTCATTGCAAGAGCCAATGCAGTGAAGAACCACTGTGATATTGAACTTACAGTATTTTTTATCAGAAGAGATTCTCTGCCGCCTCCTTTCTCTTGGCACACTTCTAGTTTTGCTTGTTGCAGATCGAACCAGACTCTCCAGGATTTCATCGCCACTGTAATACAATAGATATCAAATGTAATATAATTAATTTCGCCATATTTTTGTTTGCATTTGTATATTTCGTGTTCTAGGGAGCCTGGTGACACATTACACAGGTATTCACCCTAATTTGGACACCAGTCCCCTGCCCTTAGGAGAAAAAGAATAAGGTTATTTTATTATTCTATGTATGTGCGATGTGATAGATTTGGATGTATGGAACTCACTTTATGAAGTTCGTATCTGTGGTCTGATATTTTCGTCTGCCGTCGGTCACCGTGTCACCATCAGCCCGCAATAATTCTTTTAGAGCGCAATCTGCCGCATAATCTCCATTTTTATTAGAGAAATTCCCGACCTGGAAAGATATTACGTGCCACACTTTAATAAAATCAATACAATGCATGTACAGTCAGGGACCTTAGCGGTGTTCCACTAACAGAAACATAACCTACTTTTGTAATGGGACAAAGTCCGTCCCTTCTTATAAATTAAGCAATTAGGTAACAGTGAGTTGAGCATACTATTGTCCAAACTTTTTTCGTACGAACAAAAGCTGCAATTGGTTATTGTTGCCGCGTCGTCGTATCAATACGAACCATTCAAACTACTCTTGCTTTTAAGTTGGAATACCGCCAGATGCCCTTATAGTATGTGCAAAAGTTAGTATATAAGATGCTACGCTTTTTATTTTAAAAAAATTCACATCTCAAGAGATTCATAAGATAAGTCTTATGAATAATCTTCGGTACATGGTCCGATATGGTATAAATTGCTTACGTCAGTGATCATTTTCCCTCTAGTCTTGTTTCTCTCCCGGTGATTGGCTCGTTTTTCAAGTTGCTGCAATACCCGCTCTCTGGTAGTACGGTATTCAAGTGCGAATTCAGCAATTACTTTGAGGAACTCGGATGGTTTTGTTTTAACCACCTCCGCTGGCGGAACTCCTAAGAAATACAGGAACTTGCTATACCTGTAAGAAGAAAATTGTCTCATCTTTCTGATATATGCACAACCTTGGGGATAATGGATTTGAATGTGAAAAATAACAAGATTTCATACTCAGGATTTAAGTGGGACTTTAGAAATTTACGGTAAAAATAGTTCAAAAAGGACACTTCTAGAACAAATAATAATATAAACCTTTTCATAATTCTCTTCTTGATTACACCTAAAATAATGATTCTTTCAGCGGCATCAATTAAAAACTCATTGATTTTAGTTTTGCAAATCTGAGCACTGTCATGTTTTGCCACCCTCTTCATGTGGTCCCAGGAAGCCTTGCAGTCACATTCTAATTTGTGAAGATTTGCAGATAGAATGTCAAAGTCGACTTTGGATGCTCGAATTACTGGTCCGACCTGAAATAGAATATGCATAGGATTTAGTAAAATTTATTCAAAAAATTTACCCTGAGAGGCATTTCTTATATTTGCCCTGGACAGTTGGACAAAATAAGTTGGTAAAGTGCCATCCAAACTTCATGGCAGCAAGCAAATTTGCACGCGGTGCTGCGCCCAACACAATTTTAGATATTAGCGGAACGCGCTCGTAAGCGCTTGC